TGATGATGATGATGATGATGATGATGATGATGATGATGACGACGACGAAAGATTCGATCGGACGAACAACACTTTTATTCGCCTGATATTTCGACATCCATCGCAGATTCTTCGTCAGAGACATGACCCTCCCCCCCGTTACGTTCAATTGTCATAACGTACGTAATGTCAGGCAACCGACTGGGTTTAAGGAAATAATTGTAATAAGGTCCTCATTTATACGTCGGCATTCTTACAGAGGATACTTCAACTCCAGTTAAGGACCAGGAAATCAAATCGGACAGACAAAATATATCAGATGTACGTAAGATTTTTAGTTTTCGGGATCAGCCAAATAAACTGGCGGGTATCAACCTTTACCTGTCAGTGGCTCGGATTACCAATTTTTGGCAGTTCCTAAATGTACCCGCCCTAGGTGTTAGGCCGATGTAGACTTAAGTCTATGTCAACCTGCATGGTATAGGGACCGGCGAAGTGACCTCAAATTAAAAATCTTAGTTAACTACATTTAATAAAGGAAAGTGAGTGAGAAACCAACTAGGAGGTCGCTGCAGCATCCCCCATAACAACAAGTTAGGCCCCTATTCAACTTGACCAACCTAATGTTGATTTTCCACACATATTTTTTTCAGTGCTGATATTACCTTTGCCAACGGTCTTTCGAGATTCACTCGTATTAATAAGATACTCCCGATGTCAGGAAGCAAAAGTCTGAAAGAAAACTTTCAAGTTTAACAACTCCATGAATGCTACGGTGTCCATGGGAAATTACGTGTTTTACCCTGCTCGGGTGAATAGTCTGCGAGCAATATTACTCAATCAGGAACGGACTCTTGGTATTAGATACTAGAATGTGCGAACATTCTTGAACCCTGATATTGCCGGTGCAAAGGCGCGCCAATTCATCATTACATTGCTGTCTGCCGTTATTTTGAAGTCAAAATCCCCGACTAATACCCATGGAAAAATGGAATCTCGGCGGAAAACTTCCATTTCTCACATCACAGCAGTTCGCCCAACTCTTCTAATTGAACCTTTGCAGTGATCACTATATGTGAGAGCCATAAGGTGA